ATGTGGCTATCGTACATGTGGCGATCATACATGTGACTATCGTACATGTGACTATCCAACATGTGACTATCATACATGTGACTTTCATACATGTGACTACCATACATGTATGATAGTCACATGTATGAGAGTCACATGTACGATAGTCACATGTACGATAGTCACATGTATGATGGTCACATGTATGGTGGTCACATGTATGATAGTCACATGTACTCTAGCCACATGTATGGTAGTCACATGTATGATAATCACATGTATGATAGCCACATGTATGATAGCCACATGTATGGTAGCCACATGTACGATAGTCACATGTATGATAGGCACATGTATGATAGCCACATGTATGATGGTCATGTATGATGGCCTATTGTATTATAGCCACTCGTATAACAGTCACATGTGGCTATCATACATGTGACTATCATCCATGTGGCTATCATACATGTGACTATCAAACATGTGACTATCATACATGTGACTAGAGTACAAGTGGCTATCATACATGTGACTTCCATACATGTGACTATCGTACATGTGACTCTCATACATGTGACTATCATACATGTATGGTAGTCACATGTATGATAGCCACATGTGACTATCATACATGTGACTCTCGTTCATGTGACTATCATACATGTGACTACATACATGTGACTAGAGTACAAGTGGCTAGAGTACAAGTGGCTATCATACATGTGACTTCCATACATGTGACTATCGTACATGTGTCAATCATACATGTGGCTATCTTACATGTGACTATCATACATGTGACTCTCGTTCATGTGACTATCATACATGTGACTACATACATGTGACTAGAGTACAAGTGGCTAGTGTACAAGTGGCTATCATACAGGTGACTATCATACATGTGGCTAGAGTACATCTGACTATCATACATGTGGCTATCATAGATGTGACTATCATACATGTGGCTATCGTACATGTGGCGATCATACATGTGACTATCGTACATGTGGCTACCATACATGTGGCTATCATACATGTGGCTAGCATACATGTGGCTATCATACATGTGACTATCATAAATGTGACTATCATACATGTGACTACATACATGTGACTAGAGTACAAGTGGCTAGAGTACAAGTGGCTATCATACATGTGACTATCATCCATGTGACCATCATACATGTGACTATCTATGTGACTACCATACATGTGACTATCATGCATGTGACTATCGTACATGTGTCAATCATACATGTGGCTATCTTACATGTGACTATCATACATGTGACCACCATACATGTGACCATCATACATGTGACTATCTTACATGTGACTATCATACATGTGACGATCATACATGTGACTATCATACATGTTGACTATCATACATGTGACTATCGTACTTGTGTCGATCATACATGTGACCATCATACAAGTGACCATCATACATGTGACTACCATACATGTGACTACCATACATGTGACTACCATACATGTGACTACCATACATGTGACTATCGTACATGTGGCTATCATACATGTGGCTAGCATACATGTGGCTATCATACATGTGACTAGAGTACATGTCGCTATCATACATGTGACTAGAGTACATGTGACTAGAGTACATGTGACTAGAGTACATGTGGCTATCATACATGTGACTAGAGTACATGTCGCTATCATACATGTGACTAGAGTACATTTGACTAGAGTACATGTGACTAGAGTACATGTGACTATCATACATGTGACTCATACATGTGGCTATCATACATGTGACTATCATACATGTGACCATCATACATGTGACTATCATACATGTGACTAGAGTACATGTGGCTAGAGTACATGTGGCTATCATACATGTGACTACCATACATGTGACTATCGTACATGTGGCGATCATACATGTGACCATCATACATGTGACTATCTTACATGGGACTACCATAAATGTCACTATCATACAAGTGTCTATCATACATGTGACTAGAGTACAAGTGGCTAGAGTACAAGTGGCTATCATACATGTGACTATCATACATGTGACTAGAGTACATTTGACTAGAGTACATGTGACTATCATACATGTGACTATCATACATGTGACTCATACATGTGACCATCATACATGTGACTATCTTACATGTGACTATCATACATGTGACCATCATACATGTGACCATCATACATGTGACTGAGTACATGTGACTATCATACATGTGTCGATCATACATGTGACCATCATACATGTGGCTATCATACATGTGGCTATCATACATGTGACCATCATACATGTGTCGATCATACAAGTGACTATCATACATGTGACTACCATACATGTGACTATCGTACATGTGGCGATCATACATGTGACTATCATACATGTGACTAGAGTATATGTGGCTATCATACAAGTGGCTTGAGTTTTTTGGGTTTTTTTCGAAATGACAGGAATATTTTTAGACTTATTCAACAAAAACACCTACTTTGTCAACGTACGTATATTCATATAAAGTTTAAAAACACATCTTGACGGGCCAATACACGAGTTGACGTTAATTATCTATAAACTCTATTATATATAATTTTACTACATTGACCTAAAGTGTACATTTCATTGTACATGATTTCTGTCATGTTTACACATTGTTCAAATATTGCTAGAGATTTAAATAAAGTAGGGAACACTTAACTCTTGTTTTTTGGTGACCGTGTGCGTTGAGTTAGATCTTAAGCCGAATTCACTCAAGTAAAAATATTTATGTCGGGTCTGTGATTTTATGTACTTACCCTTCCACGATATCTCATAAAAACACAGACGGAGGCAATACACATTCTATATTGTACACAATAAACAGGAATACCATATAGAATTGTTATCTTTATGATAAATTTATTGATTAAAACTAACAATGCTGATATTTTTCATAAACATCGATTATAAAAAAATGTATTGAAATTTTGTGTAAAGGTATTAGAAATAGCAGAAACACTCAAAACAAAGTGTGTAATTTCCATGTACGTCTGATAAGGTAATCTAGCGTTGCAGGCTAACAGACGTTTATATCAACTGGACCATGTACGACCCTAGGTGTGACACGTTTGACTGGACACAGCACATAGTACAATCAAGTGTTGACTGATTGGACAGGTTCTTCGCTCTGCTAATAATGCATCAACGATTTCCGTTTTTGATACAACAGGCGCCTGTGTACAACACGGGCGCTTGATACAAAATAAAGCGCATTTGCTTGATATAAACGCAGGCGCTTGGTATAGTTTAACACAGGGTAATGGTACAATGTAACACCGGCGCTGGGTACACGTACGATAAGTAGCAGGAGTTCGAATCTATAATACAGGCGCTTTGTGCCATGCGAAACATCGAAGAAGGGGACGTCTGATGTGGGGACCTTTCCAATACGGCATTGATTGGGAGGGGGATGGGGTGGCGACTGATTATGATCAGGAAACCCCTCCAGTAATTAAGGCGTTGGTTTGGAGTTGGGACAGGGTGGGTTGAGAGATTGATGTGGGAACCCGTCCAAGGAGGATTTGGGACGGGGTGGGGGTAGTGCTGATGTGGGAACCCCTCCAGGAAGGCGTTGAGTTGGAGTTAGGACAGGTTTATTTATTGATTTCAATCCAACAGGCCATATGGCCAACTTACAAGTTTATAACAGGTTGTTAAGGGTGGGTTAGATGTGGGAACCCCTCCACGAAGGCGTTAGGTTAGATTTGGGTCTCGGTGATTTCTGCTTATGGGACATTGGATATTGATAAACGGAAACAGGAAGTACATCCCTAGTTGAAAATCCAATGTAGGGAGACAGTATCACAATTTCCGCATATTCTTTTGTTTAATATTAAATTGATGAATATTGTATGTTTATTACTGACAGAACAGCGTGTTCTCTCTGCAATATTAAAGTATTTCAAAGCAATCCAGGCATTAATTCAGGTGGGTTTTTTTATCAATGAGTCACATGTGTCCATTTTTCTGTACTTCAGGAAACCGGCTACCTATTTCACTACTGTGAAGTTTTTCAAGAAATATAACTCTTACATGCAATGTGTATATGGTTTTATCATAAAATGTCAATTTTTAATCGTTTCAAGATAATTTATTTTACACAATTTCAGCATTTATTAAATTGATATACATTAATGCAATACTAATCTCTGTCGGTACAAATGTATCATTTTTATTGACATTATTTTGCAAAATATGAAAGACTTTTTCTAAATTCCCTCCATTTTACATAACATTTCATTTAAATCCTTAAAATTCTGACAACCTATATCTTTTTTGTGGCAGAAAATTTTCTTTACTTCAAAGCAATATAACTACAAAATTTGAAGAAATTCTACTGAGAAATGGTGACACAATCCTATTACCTTAATGATCTGCTAACCCCATTGCTATACTTTTGAGGCCTCTATTTTCCCCTTCGGTTGTGTCCTCGAGAAACCCTTGGTTAGCTCCTTGTCGTCTCATAAATCTTTTACGAAATCCTTTGAACGAAATACTGAGATAAAGTAATCGATTATTATTCAGGTTATAATCAAAGAAACGAAAAGGACTCGTCACGTGACGTTTGTTCCACGTGATTGATTTCTGTTACAGGTATACACGTGTGTACATACTATTGATCATCCTCGGGGTCAATCATATAAACGCCAATATATAAACGGAATACATCTTTATTTATCATGTATTTATTGTCACAGAGAAATGAGAAGTAAAGATATTTAAAAAAATATTACAAAGTGAACACCATTACGTCAACATTTTCTCACTTAAAACCATTGTTTCATTTTGTATGCATACATGTGATGTGTTGTGCTAATAAGATTGATCACTTACTCAAGAATTTTCGTATCGTGGCATGCATATCTAATAAACCATCAATCACCAAATGACTAAGCTCATTTATATACATACGAGGATAAAAGTAGTGTCGTTTGCTCGGATAAGTTAATAAGAGTTATGACCCTTTTCTTTCCAGTCCTGGATGGAGCTGCCAATTTGTTGGACCAGCACTGTTTCCATTTGTCGTATGACATGCCGCAAAGTACCAGTTCTTACACCGAGAACTACATCACGAGGATCCGTACGTATATACTATACCATTCAACTGCCAGGACGATCAGTTGTCAAGTTTTCCAATTTCTTGTCCTCAAATCGTATTGTGGTCCTTTCTTTTAAATGTGAAAGGCTGGTCTTATCAAACTAAATCGTTGTAACGTGTTAGTGAAATGATTTCGATGGGGGTTTTCTAATAACTCAAATGGATTCTGTTTGTTACATCTGCCAGATGCCTTGCTAAACATTATATGGTTTCATTTTAATTCCATTTTTTATCAAACTCGATTGAAATTTTGAGGCTTAAAGATTTACAAAATTATCGCAATTGTGGAAGACACATTTTGACAATGATATTGATATTGATAGTTATTGCAACCGGAAGTTGTCAGAATATCATATTTTAATTCATTTTAATTATATTTGGTATATGGTATAACCACTTACATTTGTAACTTAAGGACAGGAAAAGTACTGGTATTATTTTTGTTTTTATATATAGATCTGATCCGATGCTGGTTGGCCTTTTTCATCCTGGCCCTAGTGGCCTTCCTTACAGCCTTTGTGTTCGGCCTGATCCTAATCTGTGTAATACGTCACAAAGCGCGCTGGGCCTATTTCGCCTCCCTCTTCTCCTTTATTGCAGGTAAGTTTCATTATATTGTCAGTGTGGTTCATGACACTGGATACCTTGAAGTTTGAATTTAATATAGCTATGATTTTAAATATTTGATAAAAGAGAGATTTTCTTCAAAGCATTCCTTATCAATTACTTCTTGCTATGTATTTTGCAAAGATAGAATTGTTCAAAAAAATATTATTTGAAAACAAAATAAAAAATAAACACGAAAAAGGAAAGGAAATACAAAAAATACCATTATAGAAATTGGGATCTATATACTGAGAGATAAACAACTTGCTAAGAAAATCTAAACCAGAAAAATCCTCTTTGTTTATTCATCTTTCATGTAAAAGGGAAAATGCTAATACTCAGAACATGAACTCATGCAATGCAACTGTTCATTTTTAACATTTAGTTGTGTTTTAAGACTGATAACATGCTTGATATATATATATTAATATTTTTGATAGCGTTTTCCTGTGCTGCATCAATTGCTTTCTTCCACGGCGCTGAGTACATGGAGAAGAACAAGATCTCGGACGCTTCTGCCCACTTCCCCTTCACATGGACGGCTGTAAGTCTCGCCCTCACTTTGACATTAATGAGTACCCGCACCAAATGTAATATAATTTAGCAAAAAACGCAGGATAGATGGGGCAAACTTACTGGTATAACTGCCTTATGTGTCTGGTAGTGTTTTAAAGAAAGTACACAGTATGTATATTATTCATACTCTGCAATTAGCGGTGGCGTTAATGCTCCATAAAACTCATTTCTTTTAGAAAGAATAGTGAAGGGCATTGCCATACCAAATAAAAACACGCCAGACAGTGATAATTTAATTCACAATGAAATTGAGTTGTTAAATAATTCCATCGTTTGATTTGCAGCCCTTGAAAAACGCCACTAATCGTTCTAATTGTATCTTTAAATATTGCAGCACCTGACGAATGTCACTAGTAGTTCTATGATTGTATCGTTAAATATTGCAGCCCCTGACGAATGCCACTAGCAGTTCTAATTGTATCGTTAAATATTGCAGCCCCTGACGAATGCCACTATTAGTTCTATAATTATATCGTTAAATATTGTAGCCCCTGACGAATGCCAATAGTAGTTCTATAATTGTATCGTTAAATATTGCAGTCCCTGACGAATGCCACTAGTAGTGCTATAATTGTATGTTAAATATTGCAGCCCCCGACGAATGCCACTAGTAGTTCTATAATTGTATGTTAAATATTGCAGTCCCTGACGAATGCCACTAGCAGTTCTAATTGTATCGTTAAATATTGCAGCCCATGACGAATATCACTAGTAGTTCTATAATTGTATGTTAAATATTGCAGCCCATGACGAATGTCACTAGTAGTTCTATAATTGTATCGTTAAATATTGCAGCCCCTGACGAATGCCACTAGCAGTTCTAATTGTATCTTTAAATATTGCAGCCCCTGACGAGTGCCACTAGTAGTTCTATAATTGTATCGTTAAATATTGCAGCCCCTGACGAATGCCACTGCTCGTTCCTATGGTTACTCCTACATACTTGGATGGGTCGGTGCGGTTATGGCTGGTCTGACTGCAAGCTTCTACGCCATTGCTGGATGCCACTTCGATGATAGTTCCTACGAGAGGAAAGAGCCGGTCGCTAAGGATGTCTACGTTCAGCCCGAGAATGGCTACTACCCGTCCGGCTACAACTATGGTTATTCCGGGTATGGTGGACAAGAAATGTACGCCCAACAGCCCTACATGGTCCAACAACCGCGCTACCTACCTGTGACCTACGGCGACCCCTACTGGTCCGCCAAGTAGAAACAACATCAAACCATTATATGCATCTTACAGGTGACAAAGACGGCCGGACCTTATTTTGAGGGAAGCTAGCTGTTGAAGCTTATCCTAAATTTACTATCATAATCCAAATTTGCTAGCATGGATGCTTCCACGAAATGCATAATGTCTTCAAATGACGTCATACTTTAAAAAAAAAGGGGGGGATGTGATCAATTGAGTCAAAGTCCCAGTATTTCTGTTAATTGTTTTCAGATGGTAGATTTAGAAATTTATATATATATTATTGTGTTCATATTTTTCATCTTCATCTTATTAAGATACTCATTCAACTAGAACGGTTGTACCAATGTGCTTGGAAGAGATTTGTGCGTTTGTATACACAAGATTTTATTAAAGAGATTGTAATTTTCTCTCGATACTTCTCAGAAATATAAAACTACTAACATGTAGGTATACATTCCATAACTTAACCCAGGGTATACCGAAGTTGGCCTCTGAGAATTATTGCCAAAATGTTGACCAATATTTGGTTCAAAAGAGACCGACGCGAAAATGACTGTCCGGAACTGGGAGACCGGAACCGGAAGTAACATTTGTACCCTTCTCTATTTACGCAACCATGTTCATTGCATCAAGTCTCACTATATTCGATGTACATATAATATAGAAATGTATATACCCAATTATGTTTTTATATAGATTATACAAAAAAAAAAGTATATATGTTTTCCGTTCTGAACAAGACATTTCATGTTTTGGTAGTTTGAATTTATTCAAATCTACAGCGTTATTTTTACATCACTATTATTCTATGGGGGTAATTCTTTTACAATGAAAGTGTAGTTTGTTTACGATTTAAGTCTCCAGCATAAACGCCTTAATAGTAGCTATCCATGCAAAGCTTACTATTAATACAAATTTTATTGTTAACATATTAAAATGTTCAGAATCGTCTCTCAATAAAAAAATAAAATAAATTGATGGGCATAATTTTGTAACCTTGTGATGATTTAACTTGAAATACGTAATATTTGACTAACAAATTAAAAAAAATCCATTGACCATGTGACAAGAACAACATGTCCGTTTTGCAAATATATACCTTGTACAAATGTCTGTGTTCAGTTTTTTTTGTTTCAATTTCATATATTTACGTTTCCACTGCAAGTTTCTCTCGGCATTACCAGAAAAAATCTTTCATGCTGGTATGAGCATTGAAGAAAATACGGCGTTTAATCCTTACTTTTACATTTAAAATATCTTGTTATTGTTGACATGAATATAATTATAAAATCCCTTAAATTTTCGATATTTTAGTGGCTATGTCATCAGTCGAAAGACGATTCCTGTATCGCCCTTACGTCACCAAAATGTTTGATTTTAACGGTTTTCTCACGTTAGTCGAAGCGGGAGGGGAAGCTTCAAAATGACGCTGACCAAATTGCGTTCATAGCTCTATCAACGTACTGCTTATTTAGGAACCTGTAGAGGGAATGTATATATAGGACTATGAACGCAATTTGATCAGGGTCACTTTGAAAAAGTTGACATTCAATAAAATAGTGAAATACATTCTCACAAAGATGACCACAATTACAAGATGCACTCTCAACAAGGTTAACTCTAAAAAGGTCATAATAACTGCACTGGTGTCGGAGCTTAGTATGCAAGATATTAAGTTTACGATTTCCGATTTTAAAGTAAATAGGTGGACTTGACTGAATATTTGATGTTAAACAGGATTTGAATGAATTAATAGAGGGTAGGGATCGAACCGAATTGTCTAAGTTATTCCAATAGTGAAGAGTAGAAGGTAGAAAAGAAGAATTAGTAAGAGATAATCTGAAAGGAGGAATCCTATAGTTATTATTGTTACGTAAAGCGTAACGATTATTTTCTCCAGATAAAGGCGGCAAAAGATGATTGAAGTAATCGGGAGTTAATTTATTATGCATCTTCTGCGATTAGATAAAGTTTCAAGACTAGTTTCGTAATATAAAGTATACACTGCCAAAACTGAAACTATGCATCGGGAATATGTTTTTTACATAATAGCTTTGATCCGTCTTTTATGACAAGAAAAATCATACAATACGGAACTGTTATGAAATTAAACCTACGTGTAAAAACGAAACCGCGTTATCAGGAATTGAACTCTGGACCTCCGATTGTTATTATGTTGCTCTAATCAGCTGAGCTACCTGATTAGTTGTGGTGCCATGGCAACGGCACCGCACTACAGTAGCATCCGAAACGAAATAAGGGGAGGTTACTGCATGTACCAAAAGCTACAGTTGAACTCTCCAGTGCTTGGTCTGCATTGGGACAAGGAATTTTAAGAAGATTTATGACTACTTGACAAACATGAACGAACGTAATGAATCGATGACAACTGTATACATGAAATTATGGTTTCATTCCCCATTTTGAATTTGCTTCTTCACCCTCACCAAATAAGTCATTCTCCTACAATCAACATGTGTGCCAATAACTCAAAAAAAATAATCTCTGCAACTCGTCTATAAATTGCACCGGGTCGACCACGCCGCGTACTGAGTTTATTTTACTAACAAAGTTTATCTCAAAACACAAAATGACATCGTTCTTCAATAAGCAGACCTCGGGAGGCTTGACCAACATACTTTAAACAGCCGGTCTGGACCACGGTGCTATGCACCAAATTGCATGTCCAACCATTACAGTCGCTGTTTAAAATACAACAATTGCTGTAATAACTACACATAGAACAGTAGATAGCATTGTATCGCTAATGTATCTCCCGCGGAGACTTTACCACATCACGCGATGTTACACACCCGATCGTAAAAAATTATACAAACTATGTAAAAATAAATTTACTAAAACTCGATACTACTAAAGGTGTTGACATGTCCAACGTGGTCGCCTGAAAGACCCCATTCTTGGTATCCAGGGGTTACGCTCACTTTCGCTCTCTGCACCCCTGGGATATGTCATAGCAAAATTGAAGGCACGAAGATAGCTGTTTGATTGGTCTCAGGTAAAAAAAACCTGACCAATCGCTAGGCTGATACCTGTCCTTTGACCATTACAAAGGAAAGACGCCCGACTTCAAAGCCTGTCAATTTTTACGGTTACGTTAATGTTAAGGGCGGATTAATGTAGGCGCAAAACCCCTCAACCAACCAACCAACGGTTACGTTAATGTTAAGGGCGGATTAATGTAGGCGCAAAACCCCTCAACCAACCAACCAACGGTTACGTGATCGCGAGAATCTTTTGATGTAGATCAAAGTATTAAACCAGTGTTCTTGTCTCCTCAACAAGGTGGTACACACTGAGCCTTCAATTTTGCTATGACATATTCCAGGGGTGAAGAGAGCGAAAGTGAGCATAACCCCTGGATATCGAGGATGGAAAGACACAGGGCTTCACCTGCACGTGCATCGCCGACTTCGACTGGCGCCACCCAGTGGCACGCATTCCCGTAGGGGAAAACAATTTCGTTCTAATTCGCGGACACAACCGAAAGATTTTCTTGCAAACTGGAATAGATTTCCGCTCTGCTATGGTGAATTTTCTCTAACCGCCATGAATAGGAAACATAGTCGGTGCTTAATTGTTCTGTATATCAGTATGTCTGTACCGCTACATTTGGTCATCTGTCGGTGCAAAGGAATATTTCTTCGTCGTTCTGTGTACTGTTATATTACAAGTTTAAGGATCCTCGTCCCGCTACATTGTGGTGTTTTTTTCGTATATAATACAGAAACAACTGCAGCACTGCTGTGCCGGAACTCCTCCTATCGCCAGCTCGCTCGGTCGGTAAATGCGATAGACCAATGTTCGAATTCCGGTGTAGCCAAATTCATTTTTGCAGTCAGAACATTGTTGTTGATTAAAACAGTTTCTGATACTTTACAGTTTCTTGGCAGTGGTACGAGGATCCTTAAATATGTACCACAAATTGTTTATATTACGTCACGCGGAACGTGCAGCAATATCGGGCCAGTATTGTACACGTTTCTGCCCTAGGGAAACATGAAAATATATTTCCTCGATATATCTTTTTTTAGCAAGAGCAAAAACCCAATGGAAACATGTTTGAGTTTCCCTACAACAATGTCGGTGAACGAACACAACAGGAAAACTTATCGTGACTACTCGAAGCCGTCGTCGGATGTGTACGGAACACCTCGGGCGTTACAGATCTACTAAAGAGGCTCTGAGAAAAATATTCAACGAAGAGATTTGATAGCGTGATGGACACTGAGGTAGACTTAATGTAGTGTGTTTTATCAAATCAGATACACTGAAATATAAATGAGGTAATTTATTTGTTTATACAACTGGAAGTCATGGGATATCTGTTGTCTCGTAACTGCCATGCCTTTTCGAGTGTGGATAAGTTTAATTGCTCACAATTCACATTTTTCACAATTCCAAAACCTCCGAATAATAAATCGCAGTAACTTTTGTCTCGGATTTCAATTTCAGTGAAAGCTGCCAATTGGCCTGAAAGCTCTCGAAAACATCACGAGAAATTGTGTCGCACGCAAAAGAGTATAGTGTCTAAAACAGATTGGCGAGAGTCACTTGTAGTTTCTGTTTCGTGGGACAACTAAGCGTCGACATCACCAACTGAATTAAAATGGTGTTTATTTCGATGGAGAGTTCATATTAACCACAAAAAGGATTAATATTACATATGGTCAATATAGTTAACAAAAGAGAAAGGAGGTGAATCTTATTTCGATTCAAATCACCTCAGCCGTCTGAAATTCGAGATCTAACAGACAATGATTTTCAAAAGCCAGTTGAAATACTCATTGATTCTACAACCTCCGCAAGCGTATTTACAACAGCCCGGGATTGACAGCGTCTCCATGGTAACGGCAATGTAAAGGGAAGTTTTTCAAACTGGCCCAAGCGGCGCCGGCGCAAAGCGCCGCCGGGGTTTGATCTGTATACACTTTGTCCACTTCCGGTGCCTTTCCATGCGTGAAAGCCTTCTGGGAAATTGAGGTCACATACTGTCTACAAACATATGATAGCAAACCCTACAGTATCCGTATTTATTACAGTTTGCACGTGAAATATTAAGTCACCATTTGAAAAATACATATCTTCAATACAGTATAGATACACGAAATATTATTTATTACATTTTTGCCAGTGAAATATCGGATACTATCACTTGATAAAACTGATATCTTTCACACTGTAACCAATATCAAAAGTAATATTTTCGCAGTGTGAAAATATCACTTTTTGGTATTGACCAATCATAATGGTATCTTCTATTCGCTGCATTCAAAGACAACGATTTTTTGTTCTGATTCAAATGAAGCGACGGTAGAATAAGTTGTTGTTATGGTAAATGTTTGGTACATACACTTAAGTATATACATACATATACAATTAATATCATTTGTATAAGCAATCATACCAGAAAATAGCAGAAAAATATTTCACTCGTGTGGCTAATATTTTGATATTTTCACTCGTGCTGCGCACTCGTGAAAAATATCAAAAGATTAGCCACACTCGTGAAATGTTTTTGTTATTAATGAAGACACCATTAAATATCCTCTATATTTTTACAAGTGGAGACGTCATTCTTAGTATTGTCCAATCTGAACGGTGCATCCTATTTTCTGCATAGATTTTCAGTTTCAAGTTTAGATGAAGTGACCGCAGAATAAGTAGTTTTGTTGTCTACCTTTACAGCATACATTATTGTTTTTACATAATAACACAATTAATATAATTTTGGTCTACACCTACATGTACCTCACGATAGTATCACGACATGATCCTCACGATACGTATCACTGTATGATCTTCACGATAGTATCACGACATGATCTTCACGATACGTATCACGACATGATCCTCACGATACGTATCACTGTATGATCTTTACGATACGTATCACGACATGATTCTCACGATACGTATCACGACATGATCCTCACGATACGTATCACGACATGATCATCACGATACGTATCACTGTATGATCGTTACGATACGTATCACTGTATGATCTTTACGATAGTATCACGACATGATCCTCACGATACGTATCACTGTATGATCTTTACGTAACGTATCACGACATGATCCTCAC